CTGAAACCATGACTCCTGGAATTTCCAGTGACAGAAACCAAATAAATTCTTTTTATTTAAGCCAGTTTGAATTGAGTTCTCTGTCACTTTTAACCAAAAGATGCCTGACCAATATAAGCCAAAATACATTTCTTTTGAATTGTGGAGGAGACAGATTGTATAAACAAAGAGTTTCAAACTGGAGGCCCCTGTGTCGGATGACGTACGAATGGCGGGTCCAATGTGAATTCCGAGGAAGCAAAAGGGGAGTATGTAAACCATTTGTTCGTGAAAAGAACGTGTTAAAATGTAAATAATTAGTTCCCGGGAAAAATATGTTCATGGCTGAGAAAAATATGTTCATGACTGCAATGGTGTATAACCAAAACAGCTGGTGCCATTCACCTAGGTGGTAACTCACTCCCTACTAGCCAAGTGGCTGACCTTTACATTTCCAAGGCCTTCAAACTGAAGTTGATCTTATCTATAATCAATCATTAACCCCCTACCCTTCCTTGTTCTCTAGGTATACAGAACCTTCTCTGAGCTTGAACTGCAGAGTGCTTTGTATTCTTACTTAGCACTGCCCAGTTTGAGCTGTATTATTCCTCATAAAACTTCCCTTCTTTCACACCTAACAGAGTACGAGATTTTCTTCTTTGACAATTTTACCAGTCAAGAATTTACATTGTATGGGGTATACTGTTTAGTGAGTTAACATTTAATTAATTACTCAAATTTCTTTGACCTAAATCAATTTGACCTTAATTTATTTGAAAGGGCAATTTATTATTATTGGACAAGGATTAACATCTTACCAAATCTGTAATTACGGGCTGGATGTGGACTTTGTTACAGCGTGCTGTCTCCAGGGTACAAGCTGCTGCTTTAGGATTGATATCAGTGCACCTATAAACAGAAAAGGAAGAGAAATATCTCCTATGTCCATGAGGCAAATCTGTTACTGAAAAATTCAAGGAATATTTCATTCTTTCTAAGTAGAGCAGATTTAGAAAAAAATTAGAATACTTTAATAATGGTGAAGAAAAAAGAACAAAGATGTGTTATACTGATGAAAAAGATTGTTATGTTGATATGATGTCTAAGAGTAGAAGAATACACACACAAGCATATATATCTGAAGGAATTTATTAAGTTATGATACATCCAATGAAAGAATACTACGCAGCTATTCAAAATGAAATTTAAAAAGAATCTTTGATGGGAAAATGCTCATGACACTACAGGGAATGAATAAAATAGGAAATGAAAACAAACTGGAAGAAAAAACACTTGATGGGGGGGTAAAATTTACACATGATTTTTATCTTTTCTCAAATTTTCTATATTCTCAAAATTTCTGTAAAGAAATTTTAGTAACTTTCAATTTGTTTCTGATAATGAAATTATTTACCTAAAATATAATTCAACATGAAGATGACCTACAATCATCCTGTTCCTATAATTATGTAGTAGGATACAGCAATTTTATATATGCAGTTATAATTTCTAGAAATGCATAATCTGTGATCTGGGTCCTTACTATATTTAAATAAAATAGTAGATACATATTATCTACTTACAAAAATTTTTTCATTCAATCACATTCGTAGTGAATCGCTCAGTGCAAGATTTGGATAACTGTAATGTAATATACTTACACTTACATGTACAATGCTTGAGGACCTATCATGGAGGCTAGGAATGCAGATACCACACCAGACCCTGACCCTACTTCAAGGCATATTTCGACTCTAAAAAGAAACAAAATAAATATTTGTATAGTAGGATCAAAATATACTTCACAGAAAATAATTCTCATGCTAGTTCTAATGTATATTTCCCCAGTATCATCACTTACCTGCAAATATAAAACAAATTTATAATTTAATTGCTTACAACCACTTTATGCTCAAGTTTAATGGTATGTTACTCAAAACTGTTAAAATTTTGGGTGTGTAATTTATCTTAAATCCACACCACAGTAATATATTACAAAAGGTGGCTTCAATTAATTGCAACAAAACATTACATAAAAACTATGGAATAAACAAGTTGTTTTAGAGTTCGAAATAATATGAAAGACAGCATCTCTTCCCACAAGGAGCTCACAGTTTAGTATTTCCTAAAATGATAGGATCAGTATTATTATAAAAACCTATTTATGAGAGATGTTTTTTCTACCATGTTTTAAGTATGTAACTTTGATAAATCCATCAGCATATCCTGGGGGGAAAAAATGATCTCCTATTTAACTGATAATACATTTACAGCAGCAAAGGAAATCCATATTTGGACAGCTATATACTAAATTGGAAAAGTACCTAAATATCTGACTTTAGAATGTTATTAATAATAATCTTAAGAATGCTATTACATATAATAAAATCTGCATTCCGCTGTGCTTTATCCTTCAGTTAATTTGTTACAGTTTTAAGCATGCATCAAAAGCACCAGTAATTCCCATTACAGAGATAAGTTTCATGGGATTTTAGGGGCCCCTATAGTCCTCCTTCCACCTGACTCCCCAAATGACTACCCAACAACAACAGACCCTGGGTGTTTCTAACTTTTTGAAACAGTCCACACATCTGAAAAGCTTTTATTACGCTGTGGTATGATCTGCGAATCTTATCAGGCGGCTTCTATTTGAAAATAACTATCATGGTCTTGGAAACCCTGGTGGTAGAGTGGTTAAGAGTTTGGCTGCTAACCAAAGGGTCAGCAGTTCAAATCTACCAGGTGCTTCTTGGAAACTATGGGGCAGTTCTACCCCATAGTCACTATGAGTTGGAATCAATGCATCAGGTTATTACAGTCTCATAAATAATTAGAATTCCAAGACCACAAATATCCAAGACTTTATAACAAATCAGCTCCTTTTACAGCATATTTTGTAATGCAATTTGTGCTTGTAAATCTTTCTGGAATATCTTGAGACTAAAAGACACGTTATAAAACAGTGCTGTTCCACTTTATATTCCAGTAAATCCAAATGTTCCATCATTTATGATGAAAACCTAGTTTAACAAAAGTTGGGGCATTTTACACACGGAAAAATGTGACCGGGTTTAAGAGGGGTAAATTGACACAATATAGATTTTTGAAACCTGACAGCTCTTTATTTCATCCTGAGAAAACCCAGTTCAAGTTTTGATCTTTAAATAAATCTAAATATCCAAATTCCTTCATTAAAAAAATTACAATGTATTCATTTTTTTTAAATCTTACTAACTCAAAACTTAGAGCAAGCACCTCAACAAGTCAATTTTAATATTTATAAGGCCCTAGGGCAGTGTTTTTCATTCTGTCACTATGAGCCAGAACCCACTAGACAGCACCTAACAAGAAGAAGGCCCTAGGGCAGATTCTACAGGCTGCTGTCCAGTAAGGCAGCCACTAGCTACAGGTAGGAGCCCTGGGCGCAGTGATTAAGAGCTTGGCTGCTACCCTAAAGGTCGGCAGTTCGAATGCATGAGCCGCTCTTTGGAAATCCTGTGTGGCAGTTCTACTCTGTGCTATAGAGTTGCTGTGAGTGGGAACCAGCTGAAGGCACATAACAGCTACAGGTAACTATTTAAATCCTTTACAATAAAATGAAATGAGTAATCTTCAATCGCACCGGCCACATTTCAAGTGGCTAGTGGCTCCCTTACTGGGCAGCGTTTTCCCAGCAGAGTATGCCATCGGGTGGATATAAAAATATTCCCCACCCAGTATCTCACTACCATTTTATTTTCGTTGCTTTTTGTGTACTGGATAAATCAAATAATGCCACGTGATTTTTAATATTTACTAACAATTAATAAGAAGTAATGTTTGGGGGCTATTTTGTTTATGACTAAGGGCATGCCTTCTTCAGATTGACAGCTGAAATCAAGGGATGATACATCACGGCGTGGTGAGAAGGCATGGAGCTCATGAAACCAAAGCAACACTCCGGCAAAAGAAGACATATCCCTGGCACCCTCATTACGTCACGAATCTGCAGGAAAAGCCTCATCTACGACTTCGGGGTGTCAATCGTCGGCAAGTGGGCGGGTTCCGGGCTGGGGGCGGCGACAAGCCTTTCTCCGCCCCTCCGGCGCCGCCTTGATCCTCCCTCGCGGGCCCCTCGCCCTCCTCGCACCCCGCAAGTTCTGCCGCCGCCGCCTCGAGCGCGTCCAGTAGCAGGAACGTATCCTCCGCGGGCTCATACACGTCGCTGAAGGCCCCACGCCCCACGTGCCCGTGCAGCGGCGTGGGGTACCTCGGCGCCGCCATCTTCTTCCTCTTCGCTCTACGCGCATGCGTCGGTGACGCGCACGCGCAGTGGGCTGTGGGGGCGGGGCACCAGGGATGAGTGGACGCCGCGTCGCCTCGAGTCTGGCTCGTTCTTACAGCTTGTCAGTAGGTGATGCTCTTGGCATTTTAAGTAGTCGTTTGTATAATCTGCGACTGTTGACATCTGCTTCTTCAGAATATTTATACTTATTTCATTTTATGGGTTAGCACCAGATAGTGGCATGCTCAATTGTTTTTGACTTTTCTGGGGATGCTTCTGATGTATATTTTTTGTTGTTCTAATGACATTTCAAAGTCGTTTTCTGTTGCTAGTTCCATTTGTAATGCTCACTACAAGGTAACTTTCTCGTGGATTTGGTGTGCTATCTTTCTGCGGTTTCTGTGCCTGCTGTAACAAAGTGCCACAACTGGGAGGCTTAAAACCCCAGGAATCTATTCTCGCACCGTTCTGGAGGCGGGAAGTCCGAAATGAAGTTGTTGGCAGGGTAATGCTTCCTCCAAATCCTTTATGGAAGGATTCTCATGCGCCTCTTTCAGCTTCTGGTAGCCCCAGATGTTCCTTACCTTGTGGCTTGTATATGATTGTTGTAGGGGAAAAACATCATAAAGTTTATAGTAAAGCAAAAAGAAAGTTTTGTTTGGCATATATTCAAAGGAGCAAAAGTGGGAAAACGGACAAGCATGCTGCCACAGCCATGTCTGCCCGAGTCCAGAGAATATTACAGAATAGGCAAGACTGGGAAAAGGGACAAGCATGCTGCCACAGCCATGTCTGCCCGAGTCCAAAGAATATTACAGAATAGGCAAGAGTGGGAAAACGGACAAGCATGCTGCCACAGCCACATCTGTCCGAGTCCAA